TCAGTAGACCTGGGCTGGGGCCTGAGATTCTGTATTTCTAATAAGCTCGCTGATGATGATCCTGATGGTGATGATGACCTGAAAACCATAGAATGAGTAGTGAGGACTCAAGCCATGGATCAGACATTGAGTCATCTGGAACAAAATTTCAAAGACAAATAAACAAGATAATTCTCTCAGCAAAAGACTGCACCAGGTGCTCTTAACTATTCGTGTTATACAGAATGAATCTGTGTGAGCAGGTTTTCCGTTACAATCTGACACCATCACCACGGACACCTGTCAGAGTGTACAGAGAGACAAAGTCAAGGCTTTGCATTTCTTTCAGCCCTGTTGCAAATGACTTTGTGAAAGAGGACTCATTAACCCACAATCAGCAGAATGAGAATTAATTACCTAGGACTTAATGAACTGATTTAATTGTGGTTAATGATCTACTTTCTGATAAATATATGAGAAACCCATCCCTTTCTTATCCATCTCTAAACCTCAATTTAATAGGCTATAGTTGAACTAAGTGGAATGAAAGACTCCTTAAATGGTATATCATTCTTACTGATACCTCAGAATAATAAAAAATTCTATAAAACATTCTAAATAAGTTACAAACTAATGTAATAAAAATGTTTCTGTAAAAATAATATTTCTTGCTACCCCATGACACCTCCTCGATGTAGACTGCAGCTGGAGTACTTTATGCTTATTGTCATCATAAATGGTACTAACAAGGAGAGTCAAATTCTTGGCTTTGAATTTTCAAATCCAAGTACAAGGATGAGTCTTTATTTGGAAGAGTTGGAAGACTATGCCATCATTCAGAGTCAAGGTCCAGAGCTGAGTACAAAGAGACAGTGTGCCCTGCCCTCCCCAGCCTCCCTCCTATCCCCAGGGAAATGTCCCAGAGCTAATAAGGGTCTAGATGCTCCTGAACATAGTCGGGTGCAGGATGAGAAGAAATGGCCACCTAGTGTGTCTAGGCAAAGGACTCAAAGGCAATCTCACAGGTTCCCTGATCTCCACAGTGTGGACCCTAGTGGGTGGATTTCTCTCACTTCAGATGGAAAGAATAGAATATTTCCTGGGTACTTAAGAGGAGAGTAGAATTAGCTAAGAATGAGAACTTGGAATGACAGATATGCATGAGCAATCTACATGGATAGAGGATGGGTGACTGAGATCCAGAAAAGTCAAAAACATCTCAGCAGATGGCAGCACAGGCAGATGACAACAGATGACCAGATGCCTCACCCCTCAACCTTCACAGCTCCTTCCCCAACAATTTCTCCGGGGAAGCAGATTAAGTTTCCTCCACAGACAAAAAGGGAATTTGTAAAGGAAATGAAATTCCACTGTGAATCATAAAGGAAGTTGTTACTCGCACTGATTCTACAATCAGGGGTTCCTAATCAATTAATTCGTTTTCCCTTTACGTTTTGCATGATCTTCCAACATCTAATGGTATGTTCTACATGCAGTATCTACTCTGTAACTCTTTGATACACTCTATGAATTTACTTGGTTCTATGTTTGGACAACTCTCTGAGGCCACAGCTCTCTCTTCACACTCTTCAATGTGGTTGCAACTAGCTACATGCAGCTACTGAGGACTTGAAATGTGGCTAGTCTGAATTGAGATGTGCTGTAGTGTAAAACGCGTACCAGCTTTTGAAGACTTAGCATGATAACAAGAATGGAAAATATCACTAATATTTTTATAATCATTGCACACTGATATTATTTTGGACATATTTGGACATTTTTATATAAATAAAACTATATTATTAAACTTAATTTCACCCTTTTTTTTTTTTTACTTTTTAAAAATGTGCCTGCTAGGAAATTTAAAATTTCATGTGTCACATTATATTTCTGTTGGACAATGCTGTCCTTTGTATGCTCATTCATGTCGATCTCCATTACTTTCACCTGAGCAGCCACCATCACTGCTTAAGTTTTTCCTTGTGGAAAAAGATTAAAATTAAAAATTAATTTTTTCTTGTGGCCACTCAATGATTATACAATGATGATATCTAACATTTCCTGACAGGATGTACTGGAGATTATATGGAAAATATCTTACATTTCACTTCCTGATAATTGCGACCGATCAGTCAGTCTGTAATTTGTACACAAAGGGACAGATTTTCTTTAAAGTAATTAAAGTCAAGCTCATAATACTTCTATTTTCTTAAAAATGCTTGGTAAATAAACAAATATAATTAAGACACTTTCACAAGTGAAAAGGAATCAAAACAATGAGAAAAACTATTACGAGTTTTCAACTTTGATTAGATTTATTATCTCATTCATAATCTTATATAATATGTAGTGAAACATTAAAAACAGGACCATTTGGCAAGGTTTTATTTACAAAGGGACTATTTATTAAAGTGTAGGGGAATGACAGGGACAGTATTAATCAAGGGCTAGTAGCACCTGAGATTTTATGCCTTTAGTTCTGAAGTTGGCCATTTAGAAAGGAACTGTGCCCTTCATCTAGGAATATAGCCAGTCCCAGGAAACCTCCTAGGGATGGAAGATGGAGAATGAATGCTCTGATTTCATTTTCTCTCCTTTCCTCAATTTCCTGTTAGAGTTCCCCACTAGCCAAACCCAAATGCAATCCAGAGGGCATGGGAGCCTTGTTGATGCTGGTGTATACTGATCAGCTTTCCAGAGTATACAGTGGGGTGGAGAGGGATGGAGGGTAAAACTGTAGGAGCATAGGGGAGATATATTGTACATTGTCTTTTCAGAGTCATTTGCTACATTGCTAGACACATAGGCCAACCTTGCTTCCCTCTTCCCTCTCTCCCTCCCAATAGAGAATTCAACCTTGAAACCAGAGCAGGACTAGGTGTCAGAAGTCCACTATCTGCTCCGTGTTTCTCACACAGCACGCTCTCGCTGGACTACTTCAACCACTCCTACGGCCTCGGTTACTGTCTATATGCCAGTGATTCTAAACTCCACAGCTCTCACTCATATCTCAGCCCTCCACTCTAGATGGGCGTATCCAACTGTCTTCTTCACCTGGATACTTCACGGGCTTCCCAAACTAGTATGGCCAAGAAACTATCCACCATTTACTGCATGAATCCAGACAAGGCACAATGTCAATGAACCTGTTTCTGTATTTTCTAAAATGCAGACAGAAAGTTTACGAGAGGTTGATTTCATTACGATTAGGAGAGGCTCACACAGGTACTTGTGGTTATTTTTAAAAAATCTGAAAAATCCATGTCGTTATCCATGGTCTCATACTAACACCAAGACATAGCTTGAGATTTCTGCAACTTACAATATATTCTATGTAAACTTTAACTTGTTTTCACCTCAGTAACTGTACTAGCTAATGCTTATTGAGTTCTTTCTGTTAGAAACTTTACTTGTGCACTTGTGTAAATCTTACAAGAACACTATTATGATTAGGAAATGAAGGCTGAGAGGGGTTAAAGGAATTGCACAAGGCTCACAGCTGATTAGTGATGGAGCTGGGTTTCCAACCTGGATAGCTTAAGTTCATACCACGTGCACTTCACTGCTCTGCAATACTGAATACAAATTACTCTTACACTCTAGGTAGAGGGGCTAAAAGGCCATCAGCTAGGTGTTGCTAAGTCTGCAATAGAGATGCTAGTTGTAAGTAAGGGGGCCAGGAGCTATAATAAAGCTTGAAAAATCTTAAAAATAAAGATTATAAGGTGAGAGTAGCTAAGAAATAGGATCTTTTCTTCTTTTTTTTGTTAAAACATGACTTAAGCATGCATTGTGCTAGATCATGGGGATAGAAAAGCGATGGAGACAATTTCAGTCTAGAGGGAAAGATAGGTAAATACATTATAATGAATTTTAAACATTAAGGTTGACTTGTATGCAAGGTTCACAGAACATTAGAGAAATTAGATGTACGTAGAATTCATTTGTTCATTTCTTTAAAGAGTGTTTCCTGAGTCCCCACTACATTGTGCTGGAAGCTGGAGCAACAAAAAGAAAAAGGTACAGTCCTTGTCCTGAAGTAACACAGCTTAGGGAAGATGCTTCTGGGGTGGCAATTCAAATGTCAAGAATGGAGCTACAAGGGCAGGCACGGATTACACCGCCTGGCGTGTTCTGAAAATGCCAATTGTACAGTTTGCTATTACCTAAGCAAAAAGTTAAAGTTATGGGTTGACGAGAGGAGAGGAGGTTAGAAAGGAATGCAGTGGACAGGTCTGAAACGGCTTGGGCTTTTTACTTTGACGACTCAAATTGCTTTTGGTGGAATTGCAAGGCGACATGCACTTTCCTGCAGCATCACTTTTATTAAAATAATCTGGAGTACAAAAGCACACGCTTTTTATTATTAAAATGTGAATGCATTATGTAGTTGAATGCAATAGCATGTGAGTCAGTAAAATGTGACAGGAAGTGAAATTCCACAGCTAGGCAGGCGGATGGCTTTGGTTCTCTCTCCTGAAGACCCTGGGGCAGGAGTTCATGGTCCTCAGCTCTCAGAGGATCTAGGGCAAGACAGCTGGAGAACACTGAGTATTTTAAGCGTGCGAGTGAAGCGTTAAGACTTAAGAACACGGGATGGGGAGAGGCTGCGGCGCAGGAAACTAGGAGCCTGTGCTCTTCTCTGCTCCCGGACCTCTCATTCCGAAAAGACCCTCCACCAAGTGTCCCTTCGTCACCAGGAAGCGCCTCTAGCTCCGGAGCGGCCCTTTCAACTCGCGTCGCCTCGTTGCCAGGGAAACCCTCTTCCGCCCGGCGCTTCTGCGGCCTCCCCGCTATTGGCTTAGAGGACGCAGTGATCGTTTTACGTCACTGCACGGCGCCGCCAGATTCGGGCACCACGCGAAACCTCGTTAGTACCCGAGCCTCGGCGGCCCGTGGCGGGACCGGACGCTGTTGGGTGAGCAGGCGTCGGGTTGGCTGGTGTCCAGGTCTCGACGAGGGAGAGGCGCGGTAGGAACGGGTGCCCGGAGCCGTGGGCCGCGGGTGCGGGGATGCCACGTTGCCGCCCGCACTCTCTCAGACCGTTGGCTTCCTAGCTGGCCTGTTGCTAAGGCCGCCGGATTCCGTTGCTAGGGGTCCTGGGGATGCTGAGCACCAAGGACGCGCCGTTCCTTTCCTGGGGTCTGACTTTGGCTAGGAGTAGCCTTCGACGGCCTGAATTGAAACCGGCCGCCTTTCCCCTCACCCACCACAACCCCCTTTAAAGAAAAAAAAAACAAACCTCTGTTTTTCTCCACTTTTTTCCTCCACGCCCTCCTCATTTTCTAACTTTGACAACACCCTGGCCCTGAACTGGTCTTAGGTATTTGGAAATCTGTGGTGTTTGAAGGGGAGAGGTAAGAAAAATGGAAAGCAGATTTTAAAACCCTTAATATTGGCCCTTTAGATTTACTTTATGGTAAAAAGGAATTGAGATAGGCGGATATTAGGTTCTGTCGCTGTCCTTTGGTGTTTGAAGGAGCTTTAAAGATAGAACACTGTTTCTTTAGTAGGGTGCCTATTACACTTTTGCAGTTTGCAGACACCGGATTAGAGAGTAGGAAGAGACGCGGCCTCTGCCCCTGAGAATTTAGCGAGCGGTTTAGTGCAGTAGTCTCAAAGCTGAGTGTGGGAAGAAAGTACATATAGAGAAAGAAATAGGATATGTGAGCTGTCCAAAACAGTGAAAGGGAAGTATGTTTTCCTAGCATTGACACGGATGCCTAGAGCCCATTGTAGATGACCTAAGCAAACCTAAGGGAAAATGAGGGTTCCACAGTGGGGGGCCTTGCTTGGTTTGTTTGCTCTCTGATATTGTGACATATTTTAGGTGTTTGGGTAAGTGGATTTATGGATTCTAGTGTCTATTTAGAATCTTTGTATTATTTTGTAAAAGAATGTGGGGTGAACTTGATAATATTTATGACACAAAATAGTTCTTACCTTTTTCTCCCACTATCACCTGTTTATGCCACCCTTCACATGTTATTTAAAGAAAAAGCACTCAAAAACATAAGATGAGCATAAGATGAATTAAGCATTTTCTTTTACAAACAGCTCATGTTCCAGTTTTGTCGTCAGTGGTATGCCCCCAGGGGGATACTATTTTTAAAAATTGAGCACACTTAATGTGTAATAAGGTAAAGGGTGATACTTTTAGCAATAAGTGGAAAAGGAATTCTTTTGGAGAGAAGTCTCCTGATATAGGGTGTTTTGAAAGTGGACATAGAAATGTTTGCACCATTGTTTGTATGTGTGTGTGTGCGTTGATGTTGCTGAAAATTACATAAGTATATTACACTTAAAAATTGCCCTGTATACTTAAAAGCTTTGGTAGCTCAATTTTCTAGCGTGTGTAAAAGTTTTTCAAATGAGGAGTTTCAGTGGCTTTTTGAACTTATTCAAAATATAATGCAGTACCTTACAAGAACAACTTTTTTGACCTCAAGGAAGATAGAAATTTAGTTATTACTATGAAAACTTTTGCAGAATTGGTGAGTAGTGTTGAAAAGGGTCCATCATGATTTGATCTGGCCAACTATGCTCTTTTTATGTTTGTGGGTAGGCATCTTTGTGAAGCAACTCTTTTAGCTATGACAGCGATTATAATTTGCGATCAAAAGGAACTGAACTTAACTGGATCTTCAAATCGATGTAGCCCAAAATGTTAAACCAAATTTTTCAAAAAGAAGGAAATATATTTAGTTACCTTAACCCCACTATTATTAGTATACTAATACTAAAAAACACTTTGTACCATTATAAAGAAAATGGTAATAGCTAAAATTCATATAGCACATACTGTGTGCCAAGCACTTTTCTAAATGTTTTACGTATATTAACCTGTTAGTCTTCATCAACATTTACAGTAGTTACTGTAATTATCCCCAAATATAGAGTTGAGGAAATTGAGACAGAGATTTTCTTTTTCAAACAGAAACTTAGGTTGTATTGTTCCCCATCAGGAACTTCTTAAAATATAGACCAAGTACACTAGTAAATACTTGTTGAATAATCACTGAAGAGCAATATTAGGTTGACATATTTAAAGCCTGCCGTAACTTATTTTAGAATATTATCTGACAAATTTAATAAGCTATTAATTACCATGTTTCTATAAAAAGCCTAGAATGTGATGTGTGATATTGAGAAGTAAATCATCTGCTGGTAGTAAGATGAGAAAATTAAGTCAATGTATTAAATCAAGAAAATTGAAATTTAAAATTATTCTGTGTACAGAAAGAACCTTACATTTAGTTTATCTTTACAAGGTACTTTGATCTGGTCACATCATGATTGAAATATTTTTGGTCTGAATGCTATTACATGGAGCTTGTCCTCGTGATGATTTCTAATTTGCCAAGTAGGTTACAATCATCTCATGTGAGGAATCATTTAAGAAAGCATCAGTGTTTATCCTGAAGAAGAGGAAACTAAGGCGTGTGGAGTCAGTGTCCTCAAATACTTGAAAAGCTGTCATTTGGAAGTTGAAGAGGACTTCACCTGTGTTGCCTTAAGGGAAGATCGTACAGTGTAGTTGAGGGGTAGTGATATATATAATGATTAAAGTCTGAAAGTGGGAAACGCTCTAATGGAAGAATAACTGGATGTCATGTGAGTAGGGGAATGGAATAATCAAGTAGAAATAAGAAGAAGGAAGCAGTGCAGAAAAAGAGTGCTGCGGAAGTGTACCTTTGAGAAACAGACAATCAGGCAAGGCTGCATGGAACTTAGGAGTGGAGCTAGACCTAGACATACCACCAGGCACTGGGTATGTGAGTCTGCGTGTGTGTGGTGGAGGATTCCTTGGTAGAGATATAAGTTTAGAAATTTGTTGGATTAGGCAGGAAATCATGAGCTGTGAACTAGAGCCCTGGCATTAGCAGAAAAGAGGGAATTGTGGGAGAGGAAGAAGTGAAGCGCCATTTGCTGGGTGAGCAACTTATTATCTTATTTACTCCTCAGTAACAGCCTTGATAGGCTTGTATTATCTCCTCCTTTTAATAGGTCAGGGAATCAAGGCTTAGGGAGATTAAATTATCTGCCTAAATTCATAAACCTGGTATTTGGTAGAGATGAGATACAGACCCAGATGTGAGCCCACAGCTCCGTCTCCCTCATCACACCATATTGATCGCATCTCTAGGATTGAGTGTAGGAAGCGAAGGAAAAGGAGACAACAGTGGTCCTAAAGTTTTTAGCCTGAAGGACCAGAAAACTGGTGATATCTTGAATTAACAAGGGCTTCATAACTTCGGTGTGATAACCTCACTTACGGTTATATTCAGTTTAAGGAGCTTGTGGTCCATTGAGTTGGGGAGTTTGTTGTCAGTGAAAAAGTAGGGCTTGAGATGCAACCGTTAGCATTTGGAACTTTGAAAATATAAAGGTCAGGAAAGATGGAGATCATAGGGGATGTGCCAACCACTCCTTTCAGGAATCTAGTTCATGTTTGCTGAATATAGCCAGAGGATTGCAAATTGAGTTTCTAAAAGTATATTTTGACAGTTTGAATGGAAGAAAAATGTTTATTTTTATACATCTTATTTCCTAACGGATGGTTTTTAATTTGCTGTTATTGATATTATTGAAGTTGGGATAATTTTATATTTTCTCGTTGGTCTTTCAGGTATTTTGCTCCATACCCTACCTTATTTATGTGTCTTTTACTGTATTTATTCTGTTTTGGTCTTTATGTTGTTAATGAATCCCCTGCCCACAAAATTTTGAAATTGTTTCTTTTAACAACAGGAGTAAAAGGGAAGCAATGCAGAAATCAGAGTGCCATGGAGGTGTACAGTTGAGAAACAGAGTGACAGGTACAGACATTGCTTTTTAAATGAAAAGGTGAATTTTGTTAATGATGCATTCTGTTATACAGATGTATGGCTTTTATCTCTCTGTTGATGTTCTGTTTTTTACAGGTAACTGTGATCAAAGGATATCATCAAGCACACAAATAAAAAATAGGACTACAGTTCAACGAAGCAAATCTTCATCATCAACCAGTTCACCAGAGTCTACAAGAAAACATCCTCGACCGAGTGATAAACTTAACCCTAAAACAATTAACCCGGTGGGTACAAAAGAGATTCCTGACTCAGTGGATTTTTCACAGTAATATGCATTTAGTACGCTATTGAACCATCCTGGGTGCTATCCTAAGTTTCTTTTGTTGGTTAGTTTTAATCTAGCGATGAAGGGCATAGGCAATCATGATGAAGAATGGACATAGTGATGTGCATGTGAGAGTGAGTGTGGAAATGAGAATGTGTAAAGGAGAGATTAACCAGTTTTGGTATATCCTGTCACATAAACAAGTGAATATGGTAGAGTATAAAATAAATTGCATATCAGCTTTATTTCTTATTTACTCTGGTTATTTGACTTCCTAATGTCAATGAATAAACTTGTATTCAATTGCCATAGGATGAATTACATGCTTCCACAGTTGCATAAAGGTCTCTTGATGATCTGGAAATGAGCTCCACCAGAAATCCTAACTGTAGCAGTAACCTCCTTTTGCCTTCTCACAGCAGTTTAATCAGATTTAACAAACATGAGATTTATGCTCGTAAAGGTGCATAATTGTAAGGATGTAGATCAGTGAATTATCCAAAAGTGAACACACCTTTGCAACAACACCTCATGGTGTCTGGTGCAGCCTTGTGTGGGCTCAGAGGGTACTGGTTTCAGCCTTTAAAGGGGACTACAAGAGTGGCTGAGACACTGATTTTGATGGCAGGTAAAATGTGACAGATACTTAATCAAGGAGACAATAAACTGAGGGTAGAAGGATATTGTCTGACTTTATAAAAGAAAAATGAAAAACAGTTTGAATATCTCTATTCCTTTGCTTTTTTTCTGTAATCTACGCAGTGTCGAGGAAATGGAATCCCTGAGGATGCCTTGATGTCTTCTTGCCACTGCTTCCTTTTCCTGTTCTAGTTGAGGGGGTTGATGGTGACAGTTCAATTCTCTTCCTCTCTTTAAAGAAAAACTTTTAAAAGTAATAATATTTAGTGGCCATAGTCGTAAATTATTAAAAATTTAGGAAGGTTTTGGAGAATAATTTAATAATTTGGCCTGAAAATAGAGTACATTAGAAAAGATCGTGTCTAAAATATGTAAAAGCTGCCAATCCAAAACAAAGTCAGGATAGTGGTTAGCTTTGGGAAGAAGGTAAGTTGGAGAGTTGTTACACAGCTGTGTTCAATTTTTGAGAATTCAGTGAACTGTGCACTTCCAATTCATGCACTTTAATATGTATAAATTTCAAGTATTTCACTTGAATCAAAAAGTTTTTTAATTGCTAACTCCATGTGGTAGTGTATATTTAATAATGATTGTTTTACAGTTGAAATATGGTCTGTGGTAATATTGTTTAAAATTGAAGGAACAGCAGTTTTGTTCGCACTAATGGAATTCTGGTAAAAACTTATCAAATGAATCTATTTGTAGAAAAAAATTTTGATTCTGTGAGACCTGGAAGATGAAACGATGGTTATCGGTAAAATGAATTAGAAAGAAAAGGAAAAGAATTGCTTAGAATTTCAATCAGAAATTTTGTTTTGGTTTTGGGAATTTAGAGATTATTTATGTGGCCTGTAGGTCCAAAAGTAAGATCATTTGTTAGTAAGTGGTAGAACTAAAAAAAGTCTTTGTAGCCCTGATTTGTCTTAATTTTTTCCCCCAATGTAAACAACATTTTTTCAATTAATTTCCTTATCTGATACAGTTATTACTTGAAAACAACTTTAAGAACATCTTTTTCTTAGCAGGAATTATAACTAGATGAATAAAACATTATTATTACTGTGAATTACCACGCAGAATGTGGATTGAGCTTTCTAAATGAATCTTTTATTTTAATGAATTTCATCTATGTATTTTTACTCAAAACATATGTATTTTTCCAAAGGAAAAAGGACTAATTCTAAATTTACACTCTTAAGTATATTTTTAAATTACTGCATGTAATTAAAAACATTTTTTTAGCTAGTTATATCTGTAAAATAGGTTAGTAAGTTTATATTTTGTCATTTAGACAACTCTGTTTCATTTGGCTATTTTCAAAGTACCATGAGGTGAAATATTTACTTTTTATGCCTAAATCCTCTTTAAGTTTATGGTCAGTTTTATTGAATTATGTATATTGTGATTGTTGAACTGTTGTTATTGATTACCTCTTAAATCCTCTGTGAGAGTAGATACAGAATTTATCTATTCTTAAGATAATGATGTATAGCAAAACTGAAGCTTATAAAGTTATATTATCGAAGCAGACACATCCAGGCATATGTTTGTGAGAGTTTAGCTCCATTTTCAACTCTATCACCCTTGCCCAACCTAAGCCTTTGATTTTTATAGAAGCATAGAGCCACTTTGGAGAACTTAGAGGTTCTCTGACCATCTAGCCCATCCATATTTGGCTTGAGAACAAGTAGGAAATGTGCTGGGAGGCTGAAAACAAAGATGCTTTCTCTATACTTAATACCTCGCCTCCATTTAGCCCTCACCTTGAATGGTCACAATGGGGAAGGGGGTGTCAAGATGTATTATCTTTATTATATTTATTTATGTTTAACAATATTTATTAAATTATATTTATTATATGTATGTATGGTTTCAGCTACCTTCAAGCCTTCTGAAACAAGTTAGAGGTAAAGGGAAATGCACAAATGTAGTTGTGCTTTTGGTACTGACAGGATTGATGGTTTTTCTCAGTCATGTTGCTGAGTAGAATGATGCCCTTGATACTAACATGGTGGTTTGAAAGTCAGGGCGTGCATTTGCCTCTGACCTCAGCGAGATCAAAATTCATTAACTATCACAATGTGGAGGTGATAGTAATATTTATTGTATTCTTGTCATTTTTTATTTCAGTTTGGTGAACAGTCACGAACTCCTTCCGCGTTTGCAGCTATTTACTCTAAAGGAGGTATTCCTTGCAGGTAAAATCAATACAACTTATAACTGACCGTATTATTCAAAATAGTTGAGTAAAATCAATACAGTATTCAGTTTAAATGTATTGGAAGTTTTATTTACTAGGGAGGTTGAAATAAAGGTGACTTATTCACACTTCGGCTCTTGGATTGGTATAGATCCTGGGACATTATTGAAGAAAATCCTTTTAATTTCAAAATAGAGTTAGCAATAGATCTGCGGTAAATCACCAAATGACTTAAGAAACTGAATGAACCAGTTTCTAAAACAATTTAAGCATTCACAAGCTTGGGCAAGTTGCAAATAAATAATCTTATTTTGTTTATAAACTGAAAGTTGACAATTTAATGAAATTCTTTCATTAGTTTTGAAATTATATTTATTGAAATTATACTGTATTTCTTAATGAGTACATATGACTGTTTTTTCTCACCTTTGGTATAATTCTTACAAACTTTCTGGACAGACATCATAGCTATTTTAAAGAATATAGTATAGGTTACGAAGAAAGTGTTATTATTTTAAGATTTTACTATGAAGAGACATGTATTTCTTCTAAGTATATCCAGTCTTAGCCTGCTCTAGATGATAGAAATTTCATTTTCATCGTGTAAAGCATAATCACAACATTCTTTTTATTGTTCTTGTTGTTCTAAAATTCAAGAAATGTAGATTTTAGTGGTATTTTCAGATTAGAAGGATTTGAAGGACTGTAAGTGAAAAATAAGCTCAAGAATCATTCTTCAATTTATTGTTATTGTTTCATACTTACATGCTGAATTGAAACTATTTTAAGGCTCTTACATCCCTTCCCCACTCTGAGAAATTTATTGTTGCTAAAATTGTGAGAAATAGTGTCACCCAGGCCTCTTGCTATTATGAAAATAACACTGGAGAAGGAGTCAAGAAGTTGAGAGAACATTACAAAAGGGTTGTGAAGAAAGGTTTGGAGATGATAAATAAGTCCACTGTCGTGATTGTCGTGATGGTTCAGTGGATATTTTCGTGCATCAGCACTTAACACATTGCATACTTTAAATATGTACAGCTTATTGCATGTCACTTATGCCTCAATAAAGGCTGTTTAAAAAAAAGGCAGCAGCAGCAGTGGCTCTAGTTCGAAGGACTGCCTCTGTGTTACTCTGCATGGGCCACTGCCCCTTCCCGGCCTCAGCCTCCTTCTCTTTAACAGGATCAAACCTGGCTTGCCTTCAGATCGTTAGTGTTAGGGTTAAATGATCTATGTCTGAAAAGCAATGTTCCATATAAAAGAAATTATTATTTCTACTTATCACATTTTGTTTGCCTTTTTCATTTTCTGTACGTTACGTTTTGTTATAATTATGACTGAAACATAGCAAGTGAACCATTTGCATTAAGACTCACACATGGCAACATGCTTGAGCTGCAGAAGTGTAGGTTTAACAAATGTGGGGTTGTTTAGTTTTGCCACCAAACAATTTTGCTGAAAGAGTAGGAATTTGCAGATTATGGACATTGCTTTATAAGGTGCCTTTGTAATATGTTTTAAATTCATGGTATTCCTACGTGTTACAAAATAATTCTAATATAGTTATGTTCTAGAAAGAATATGTATGTGTCAGACAATCACTGTTCAGTATATAATTACATTGTCCTAGCTACATTCACTAACTTTTATATTTTAGGTTGGTCCATGGTTCAGTAAAACACAGGTTACAGTGGGAGTGTCCTCCTGAAAATCTTCCATTTGATCCTCTTCTTATTACTTTAGCTGAGGTAAATATACCATTTTGTAGATGAATCAAAACTACCCTATTGATACTTTGAGAACATAGTCCAGCTGCTCACAGGGTAGGGGGAGTGCTATAATTTGGGGAGTCCCCAAAGGGGCTCTGAGTTTAGTGTAGATCACATAAAGTCAGTCCTTCATGTACCTGTTTACCAGGCACCAATGCTTTTATTTCTGTACTGGCTAGATCTTTAGCCTTCCCTCCACTTGTTTAATAATGAGGAAGTACGACAGAACAACCACTATTGCAATGCACGTCACCTCCTAACCTGAGCTTCCTCGTCTCTGAAATGAACAGGCTAGGAGTACTAGGGGTACTCCTAAGACGATAGAACCCGTGTTCCAAACTGGTGCCAGGTGCTGGCAGCATAGTTTTCAAAAGCATGATTGCATAGAGGAGAGGAAGTGTTTGGTCACTATTTGGAAACATAGTTTGGTCTAAAGGACGAATTGGTTTAAAATTAATATTTTTAGATATGACTTTGCAGCTGGTTTTACTGAGGGAATATTGCTATTGCTTTCTTAAAATTTGTTTTATCTTTTTGAAAAAGGTGACTGTTTTGCCCTGACTCAAAGTGATCAATTAAATCAAGAGTACTATCTAATTGTTTCTAATGCATTTAGGGTGAAAGGCATAGTGAGAAAACATCTACAGAGGTTTTTTTCATATTTTTATTTCACATTCCAATGTTAGAAATGATATTTAAAATCTTACAATGCTTTTTGAACAGAATGCAAGATTTGTTTTCTGAATATCTTATTATTTAAATGTGAAGGAAATATAATATTTTAGAAACTCAGTAAACAAGTTGTAAAATCACCATAAAGCTGGGGGGAGTCCAATAATTTTGCATTCATAAAGTGATTTTTATTCATAAACATACATTTTAGACTAGTGCATTATGCTTTCAGGCAGTGTTTGGGAGTTTACAAATTGTGTTTAGCATCCTAGTGAGTTTTTCTTTTTCTCTCTTTCTTTTCATTTACCTTCCCTCTCCCTCCTTCCCTCCTCCTTCTCTCTTTCTTCTTTCCTTTTCTTTTTTCTTTATATCCTTTATCTTTCCTTTCCTTCAGTTCTTTACTGTTTTTCTTTTTGTTTTCCCATCCGTCCTCTCTCATATATATCTTTTGTTCCACAATTTCTCAGTTTAAATGAAATTGCAATTACTGAAATTATATTTCATAAACAGGAAAACAATAATAGCAAAACTCGATTTTCACTAAGCCTGTAAGGATTCCTTTTTTTGTTCTTAGCATAACTAAATGGGTAGTAAATCGTGTGTTTTTTGGTCTTTGGCAGGGTCTGAGAGAGACTAAACATCCATACACCTTCGTGTCAAAGGAAGGTTTTAGAGAATTGCTTTTGGTCCAAGGTGCTGCTGACAAAGCTGTGCCTTTGCTTCCTAGACTGATTCCTGTGCTAAAGGCAGCTCTGGTATGTCCTGTATTCCTTTGGACTTTCTCTGGTATATCTAGAATGTTTTATGTCTTTCTTTTCCTCCAAATTATATGCAAATTAGTCCTTTACCTGTGATTTTGATGTGAGCGCAGAATTAGGCCACTGTTAGTCAGAGCCAGATGATTACTTACTTGAAGACATCTTTAGAGGATGTACTAAAGGTAAAAAGGAACATTTTAAGTAATTAGAGAAAGTAATGAACCTCAAATCAGTCTTTCTGCATGCTGTGATATATTTTAGTTAATGTTTTAGTGAAACTGGAAATTTACTTTTTGCTTCTAGATGTCCTGCATTAAAGGTTATTTTTTAAATTCTGGATTTGGTTGATTTTCTTCTAACTTTGAATGTTCAATCCTACTTTTTCTTCACTTGCTTGCCCTTTCTCCTAATCATCCTTCTTCTGGTTTTTTCCCCTCTTCCCCTCCCTGCCCCTATACCCCTAACCAACCAACGCCCTACAGGCCCATTCGGATGATGAAGTGTTTGAAAGAGGATTGAATGCTCTGGTGCAGTTAAGTGTTGTTGTTGGTCCTTCTCTAAATGACCATCTGAAACACCTGCTCACAAGTGTAAGTACTGAAAAGATTAGAGTGTGATTGTTTGTATGTGTTATGTAGTATCTGTATCTCTTCATGATTTAATGGCTTCAAATTAATCATTAAAATGATTTAAAACCTTAAAGAAAATATCATCATCCCCAAAACCAAAAAATATAGAGATCAGACCTAGTAGTTCATAAAATATTTTACTAAGGGACAGTATTGTCTTTCATTTTTTTTAATGGAAAGCACCTACTTGAGCAGAATTTATGGTTGTAATAAAAAGTAACCAAAAGTTGAATGTCGAATGGGCAAAACTTAATGAACAGTATAATGGTATCATGCCCATGTTGATTAGCTGTGAATTATAAGCACAAGTTAGACCCCTCTTGTGTAATTGTATATTGCCACAGCCATGTTTTTCATCTTTTTCTTTGTAAGTTTTTTAGTGAGTCCATCAAGAGCCTTAAGGACGAGACTTTTTTCTGATATATGTAGTTTAATTCTTATCACAGATATACACTGGGACACCATGCAGTTCAGGAGATGCCCAAGACCACCCTTAGGTTTACTAATTTGCTGAAAGGACTCACAGGACTCAGGAGAGCTGTTATTCACTGTTACAGGTTATTACAGTGAAAGGATACGGATTAAAATCAGCAAAAGGAAGAGGTGCATAGAGCATTGGGTCCAGAAGAAACCAAATGTGGAGCTTCCACTTGTCCTCCTCCAGTGGAGTAGTGGGGGCAGTGCTTGCTTTTTCCAGCGATGATGTGTGGCAGCATGCATGGAGCATTGCCAACTAGGGAAGCTCACCCAAGCCTTGGTGTCTGGAGTACTTATTGGGAGTTTGTCACTCAGGCATATCTGCCTGCCAGTGTGGTTGACCTTAGTCTCCAGCCTCTCTAGAAGTCCAGGGATACTCTGTGGCCCAAGGCCCCCACCATAAATCGCATTGTTAACATAGATTATCTGCTGTGGCCCAAGGCCCCCAGGTAAACAAAGTCACTCTTATCTGGCAGGATATTCCAAGGGCTTAAAGGTTTCCATCCAGGAGCCAGGGGCGAGGGCCAGACCTTTCTTTAGGCAACGTTAATCCTTTCCTGTGGAAACTAATATAAAGATTAAAGTCCTGGCTGGAAATAACCCACAGCTGGGATATCTCTGCATGCATCCTTCTGTAGTTCAGAGCTGAAGCATGTATTTTGATCAGAGTTCCACTGTTTTCTCTTGGACCTATCCACCTAAGAGATCTTAGAACTGTATTTTTAACTTCTTACTCTGCAGAGAAACTAATAAACCCCAGGAACCACCTGGCTAAGCCAATAGAAAGTAGAGGTGATAGTGAATCTATTACGATTGCTGTGCTGAGATTAGGAATCGTGGAAGATGAATTCCCCCCAGGTGTCTGATGGGGAGAAGACATAGTGAGAATAGACTCTCAAACCTTGACATGTGGGAAGTCTTAGGACAGAAGGAAGAGAATCCTGGCAGATACTTGCTTATGATCTTCAGGTCAGTGGGTTGTAGCTGACTACAGGAATTTCGCACTAATGTATAAAATGACTCATTTTAGATTGATTGCTTCAGTCAAACACTCAACAGTTTAAGATAAATCTGTTAACCCATTTTGTGCCAGGTGTTATGCGAGGCACTGGGAACATAATGCTGAACAGAAACACATATGCCCTCTGCCCTTGTGGAGATTGGTTTTTGTTTTTGGGAGAAACAAGTAGCAAAGACATCCACTGAGAAAGTTCGGATGACGTGAAGTGCAAGTGATATATAGAGAAAAGGAGTCACACTGGATCCTTCCCCAAACTCGAAGTTGAGCAAGGACCAGAACCTTTGCTTCCCAAACAGCCTCCCAGTCCCACCCACCATGGCAGAGAGGGGAAGTCAGATTAACGACTAAACTACTATGTGAGTCGTCGTTTTTTTTTTAACCTTTCTGGGTCAGTGGCATTAATCTTTGCTCGCTCACAGTCTTCCCCAGAGCTCTGCTTTTCCTAAGACAGGACTGACTGAAAGGCCTTTCTCCTTCCAGGGGTGTCAACCGTTTGGGAAGACCTAGATACCGCACTGGCCTTCGGATCCCAGTGGTATCCATAGAGGAGAGAGCCTTGGAAATAGGCCCCCTGGGGATTAGGTCTTGGTCTGTTAGTTACACATCCTGAGACAAAAGGCACCCTTGAGGATCCACTGAGGTGCCATAGTGCTCCCTGCGTACCTCACTTACCTTACTTGAGCCAGAAAGGCTCCATTTTCATCTGTTTGATAGACTTCTTCATTAGATGTTTATTTGAAGAAAGAGTTCCTCTTCTAGAAAATGAATTTCAAAACCAGTTACTGAGACTGTATACAGCTCATTTTCTTCATTTGTAAAATAAGTCATATCCTCTCTGAGCCTTAGCTCTAAGAGACCATCCGCTGACCCCAGGGCAGTGATCCTCAAACCCTAAAGAGGAAAGAAATACCTGGGAATCTTGCTAAACATGCAGAGCCCGGGCCTTTGCCCTGAGATTCTGCCTGAGTAAGTATGCGCTGGGACCCAAGAATCTGTGCTCTTTCAGTGAGTATGTCAGGTGATTCTGAAGGTGGTGCTTCATGGGTCTGCCTGTAAACCCCTGCTCCAGGATAACACGGTCTGAAGACAGCAAACCTATGATCTGTAAGAAGCACTTTTTCTTGTCCATCCCCAGGGCATTGATAAGCCCTGCCTGCTCCCTCTTTAGAGTTGCTTTTCTCATATTTTTATCCTTCTGGGAGCCTCTTCTGATCTTCCCTAACTTTCCATGACCAGACTGAAGGGACCTGCTGCTCAGTGCTCAGTGGTGTGTAGTACTCCTGGGTTATCTCCATATCTGAGAAGAGGAAGAACCAGAAACCAACTCTAGGACAGGGCCTTGTAAGCATTTGATCCATGACTGAATTCTTGCCTGGGCTTCACTTATCTTCGCAGCAAGTAGAGCCCTGAGCGAGTCCTGCTGTAGGCTGAAGTGTTAGGTCTGTGGGTGAGTAATGCAGACATTTGGTGGGGGCGCTGGTTACAGTTTGTCCTCGATGACGTGGTGTTTCCCTCCTGGCTCCCCTGATTCAATTCCACTCACTCTGTGCTCTCTCCCTGTTCAGTCAGAGTTCCACCTACACAACTGAGGCCCATTTAGGACATTCCTAGGGACAGGTGGTCACGTGCTTTCTCGTTTGATTCCTCTGCCTGTCACTGTTACTGAATTATTCATGTCAGTGCTCTCTTCTTTGTTGTCTCTTCTTTTTTTTACTATAGGAAACACATGTGTTTTAGAGGCTTAGATTCCCGTCATAGTCCTCCAGGTGCTCTTACAAATTGCAAAATGGGAAAGTATGCAATTTCGTAGGAAGCTTATTCTGGATGCCATACTGTAGCAGATTTTGTACAATTGGTATTATCTGAAATAACGTAAATTCATTTTTTTAAATAAATATAGTGGTGTCTATTATATATAAATTTCAATGAGGTATTTCCTAAAAGAAGCCTTGAAATCTAAAACAAGTTAATCATGTTCATGGATGTAGTATACCGTAAAGACCGAATGGCATCATTTCTATTTAACCTATTTTTTACTGAAGTTTTACTTATGCTTGTGGTGAATATAGTTACTTTTCCAAATTATTTCATTCCCCCAATCTTATTTTAAAAGCTTTCCAAGAGACTAAGGGACAAGAAATTCAAAGAGCCAATCACCAGTGCTTTACAGAAGCTAGAGCAGCATGGCGGAAGTGTAAGTAGAACCTTATTCGTTAAGTCATTTTTTCCTACGTTTAGTCATATTATAGAATTGACTGTATAACATATAAGCTCATTTCAGCCACAGGTAACCATGTGGAGCTGATGCTATTATTTTCATTTTAGAGCTCAGAGTTTCTGTCTTTCCTACATCGTGGAATTTTTAAGCCCTGGGATTCAGGTTCAGCTTGTGTAGATAGCAGGCCTGCACACTTTCATTGTGCTTACTGTATGGCACTCCATGTGGGACAGCTTTACAGGTTTTTTTCTTTATTTTTGATGTTTTTGCTTTGACCATGGAAAGTTGGGAAAACAAAAGATTAACATAGAGAGCTCATTGAAGAAAAGGTACTTTTTTCTCTCTTATTTGCTTATCTTTTGTGCCTAAAAAAGTTATAATTTGTTCATAGTCAAAGATTGAAGTGAAGTTTCCAGATGGCTGCAATATTATTTCTGGAAGCATATGTGTGCTGAACCATGCACACTCATGCATACACAGAGGAATGATTCAGTTGATTATTCTAACTTGCAAAAATGTGCAAGAAGAATGTCCAAAACGGTGCAAGAATGTGGGGGATTTCATTACTACCTGTGTGGTGTAGGGGATTGGAATTGGCCACCCCAAGATATGTCTCTTTGGCATGAGGATTATTTTGGGCTGGTTACTGTTAAAAACTGTAGACATGAGAGAAACCCTGAAAAGTAGAAGTTACCCTTTGTTAAGAGACATTTGCATTTGTAAAGGAAATCTCCATCTGTAAAGGTGTCTCCCTCTCTGTACCAGGAGGAAGGGAAAATGACCTTATCTCTAGAAGCTCTTATCAATTCGGAAGGCAAGGATTTAAATCTGCATAATAACCTTACTCTTGTTTACTGTGCTTTTCTGCTAACCTTCCATAACTGACTCTTCCCACCCCCAACATCCTCCTTTGTCTTTAGCTGAGGATGGTGTTTAAGGTGAGGGCTCCTGCCATTTTGGTGAGTTGCTCAGTTTTCCTGGGTCTCTCCCATGTATACATGTTATAAAGCTTTGTTTAATTTTCTCCTGTTATTCTCTCTCATGTCAATTTAATTTGTTGTCCGGCCAGAAGGACCCAGAGCGGGTAGAGAAAATGTCTTCCTCTCCTACAGTGGTGTCAAATAACTAGGTTAACTGAATCTTCATCATTTGAAAGAAGTGTTGAGACGATTTAGTCTTGGAAGTAGCTCCATAAAACAGAGAGCCCATCTTCTTTTGATCCTGTCTTGTCTGGAGATTACATTGAATCAGATCTTTATGATAGAGTTGGATGTGATTATCTGAACATTGCAGAACTTAGTTTCATTCTAGGTGCTTTCTAAAGCAATTAATAATAATATTTGTGTTTTTTTTAAAGATTTTATTTTTCCTTTTTCTCCCCAAATCGCCCCAGTAGACAGTTGTATATATTTTAGTTGTGGGTCCTTCCAGTTGTGGCAAGTGGGACGCCACCTCAGCATGGCTTGACGAGCGAGCGATGCCATGTCTGTGCCTAGGATCCGAACTGGTGAAACCCTGGGCCACTGAAGTAGAGTGTGTGAACTTAAACACTCGGCCACTGGGCCGGCCCCTAAAGCAATTAATTATAAAGAAAATCTGTGTGATTGCATACAGTTTTAAAATGGCAGATATTTTAGTTTAAACTTTGCCTAAATTAGCTAATTTGACCAATTTCAATGACTTTTTAAATTTATTATATTCTTTCTATGATGCATGCCTAGAATAAAGTTTATGAGAGGAAGTCAGTCCCTAGGCTCCTATAGAATGGATTTCTTTGTTGTGTCCTAGGCAGAGATTAGCATTCAGACACCTGTTGAGATGTACAAAACCATCCCCTAGCCATAGCCAATCCAGTGTCCCTCCTCAGCAGAAACGGGATTCTTCTTGCTTGGAAATGTACTTGCTGTTCTGAGAACTGGAATGCAAAATGAATTTGCCTTTTCCTCCCTTGTGAAATGCAAGTAAACAGACGCTAAATAATGGAGGCACAGCTTTTCAATCTGAAGCTCTCCCCAGGTGGTTTTCACACATCCTGTGGGCTGGTATGATGAAGAGGGCAAGTAGAAAGGGGAGGCTGAGCATGTTAGATTTCATGGATATGTGTGGGGGAGGGGATAGTTTGCACATAAATAAAGTTCAGAAATAGTAGATGAAGATTTGGAGGGTGAAGTTGACCACTCCAAGGTCCCAGAGATGGCTAGCAAGGGAATTCCTCTTATTGCCACTCAATCTCATTAGTTTTGAATCATGCTAATACAGAATAAAATAAGATTTCGAAGTTATAAGGGTTGTTACATATTGTTTCTTCCTTCAGACTTTTTCTCTTTTTTGTTCTCTCCTTCTAATATTATATAATATTTTAATAATAATTGATGTAATTGTAATAGAAAATTGCAATTCCATATCAACAACTTTCCCTCGGTTTAATTATTACTGTGCTTGCTTTTGGTATTTTGTAATCCTTCATGAAATTAATGAATATTCCTCTGTCCCTTCTAAAAATTTAAACATTCTTTTTCTTTAAATGTTAGAAATGAGTCTTTAAAAGAAGATTCTTCTCAATATTGCATTTTCTCGTTTCTTAGGACTTACAGATATCACAATGATGGAATGACTCAACTTCTGGGGAAACAAAAATAACAGTTACAGACAGTCACAGTGTCATTTTCTTGTAACTCATCGGTTACTATCTGCCTTAAATTGAAGTTGGTTCATTCTTAGCCTGATTTAATTTTCTTTCTAAGTGATACACACATTTGTCTTAGGAAGGTACATACTTCCACACACCCCATCTTTGTTGAGCGCTTGGGAACTTGTTACGTGCCAGATACTCTGATGAGTGCTTTTAGACATTAAACTCGTTTAATCCTCACTGCAGTCCTCAGAGGTAGATTTTGTTGTTATCTCCCTTTAAAGATCTAGTAACTGGGGTGCAGAGAAGTAATTCGCCCCAGATTTGACAGTGAAGTCACTGGCAGAAGCTAGGTTCAAATACCAGTAGTCTGGTTCCTAACTACTTCTCTAGTTAAATTTTTTAAAAAAACAATAAGAGACAACCTATATTTTATTTAACACAGAAAAAAATTCCACTTCTCATTCCATTGTTCTGCTCTCATCCCATTTTATTTGTTTCTTTTGAGTTTTGGACACTTTTTTAGGCTCTTCTCTGTGAATGTAATACCTAAGAGGGGAACCCTGCATGATACTAATGAGGCTCAATTTTTTTTCTCTTGACAGGGAAGCCTTATCATCATCAAAGCTAAAATTCCAACATACTGCTCCATATGCTGTTGAAAAAGAGGCCAGCAAAAATCTTCTTACTGCCTGGTGACAGATGTTAAACGCTGACCATGGGGACCTGTGGAACCTTTTCAGATTCACTTCAGTTTATTCTTTTGTAAATCACAGCCACCATTCATTATTTACTAATTTAAGATAAGTATACACAATTCCACTAAATCATAGTAAAAGTTATTCTTCAACAAAAAAGAATGGTTAATGATGGAAAGCTATTAAAAAAAGTTCTACAATAGTACAATTTTGTTGGGTTTATTTTTCATATTTTTGTGCTTTGTGTGAACAACCATTATTGGGTTTATAGTAGATGTGTTTGTATTTTCTAGTGCCTTTTATTTATAATATCCCTTTTGCAATCAGTTTATAGCTATACTTATTTTGAGATATTTTGCCATTTCTTGGGTTTTTTATTCATCAAGGCTATGGAAATTTAAATTAGTGGACAAACATTTGTGAATTCACTATTAATTATTGTTTGTAAATATGTATTTTATAATATAGAATGCTTGGGACAATTTCTTTCCAGAGTATTCTAGTTTAAGAATTTTTTTTAATGTGTAAATTCTCTTTTAAGTATGTTGTTTATTACAACTCATTAAAACTACCTAAACTTTAGGTGTTAATTGTATTAAAGTAAATGTTATTTTTGTATTTCATAATCTGAAAATATTGAAAATATTTGGTACATGAAGATATTCAGAAATTAAAATCTTAAAACTCTTATGTATTCGGTGGTTTTGTTGTGCTGCTTGTGTTTTAACAATTAATTCAATTTAAAAAGCCTTTAAAACATAATTTACAGGCATAGTTCTGAGTGTTGTCATAGTAGAAGCTGACTCTGGATCATTTTACAAGAGAAACGGATAGAGGAAGAAAAATAAAGCAAGAATAAGACCTTCCATCTTAAGGCAAGAAGAGAGTCCACAGGGACTTGAGGAGCCACACCAAATCCAAAGCAGACTGGGACTTTTGAAGGGAGGGAAATGAGGGTCACTCTTTTATACAGGAGCAGCAATATCATATCTCAGAAGCGTCAGAGAAAACACCTTCTCTGCTCTATGCCTCAGGTCACCTGGAGTGACCTCTTTGCAATTCTCACTTCAGACACAGCCTCACAGCTGTAATTTAAAAGAATATAAGTAATTTCTGAAGAGTCATAATTGCAGAAATGCTTGTCCTCCCTCAGCTCTTTTGTCCTTTCGTCCTCGTACGCCTGTCTGGTACGCTCTTTCCTCAGATCTCTATCGTGTCACATCCTCAGATCATATTAGCTAAAACATCTGCCTGCCCACTGGTCTGGCTTTACTCTTCTTCATTGCACTTAGCACCACTCAAAAGACGAAGATATCTAAAATCTATAAAGTGCCATAAGAAAAATGCAATATTTTTAATCTAGAAATTACAAAATTTCTTGGAATAAAGACCTATGATATAGACAGTAGAGTTATAAACATTTTATTTGCTTTTATTTTTTTTTTGAAATACAAAATGTGCACATTGAGTTTACACAAACACGCGATGGCATATTTCAGTGTACATGTATTGTACTACTCTTAATTTCTACACTGGTGATAGCAGGGCAGCTTTCAACATCCTATCTCTACACCAGAATAGATACCTGATTTATTGTTGCAAAGACAGTTACAGATTTCCTCCTACTGTAGCCTCTTGGTCTTTGTGATATTTCTGCAGCACAGGGAAGGTGTGTGTATCTTTAGTAATATTGTAACAACTTTAGAATTTTGGCTTAAGATCATTAAAAAGAATCTGAATTATTGGAGTTTTATGATGAGCTAAGTCATAATGCAATCTAGATAAGTTGCTTAGCACTTATATTCATTTTCTACTGAATTTTAGTATTGTAGTTCTTGATATAATGGAATCACTGTTGCTTTCAAAGTGAATTCTGCTTACTCTTCGTCCCCAGTAGGCATTGGGGTAGTCAAGGTTTCTTTGTCCCTGAATGTTGTGTAATACAAAGGTGCCTTGAGGGGGTCAGAGGAAAGGGGATGGAATTGGCCTTTAATGCTGTTAAGAATTACTTGTTATAAAGCATTACCATGTACTGGAGGGCAGATAGCCTGACCCTTTGCATATGCCTATAAGCAGCCTCACTTTGTTTCCCACTGTCTTGGGCTTCCACTTAACGACACAATAGAAAACAGTCAACCTGTAGGATTGAACAAATCCCAAATTATATACATCATGGAGGCCTTGACTGTGATATGTATTATGAAAAATTAAGAAATGCTTATTAAATAAGCTTTATTAGGCATATGCTTATATCTGGTGATAAATTAATTTGTTTCATGTTATAAAAAATGCCTGATAAATGAATGTCTTTAACAGAAGGCAGCAAATCCATAGAAACTGGGGCTATGCGTTTTTTTTTTAATTGTAGTAATCTTGTTTTGTTTACTTAAAGTATGCAAATAGAATTACAGCATACAAACATGAAAATTAATTTCTGGAAATTAAATGCAGATGCCAGTATTTTAGAAAACCATTTAAAATCCTGGGGCTGAATACATACAAATGAGTAGCAAAAAAACACTGGCATTTTAAAATCACTGATAATGTGAAAGCCTCAATAATTCCATGGCTAAAGAATTAATAGAACTATATGCCAGATTCTATTACTTTTGAATATTCACAGGGTATGAAATGATTTAGAACATCCCATGAACTCAGTGGCATTATGAAAAGGATGCAAATTTATAACTGGAAAACTCAAATCTTTTGGGGATTGCTTTATATTAAAACAAAGCTCGTTTGCATAATATGCCTCAGTGTAAAGCTGAGCAATCTATGCTAAAAGTGGTAGCTCCAACTTTAAGTGTGGTAGAATAGTTCACATGTGTTTGATTGAGGACGTATTCCACAAGTTAAATCACATTTTCAAAGAGCTGCATGGAGCGCATTATGTTTTCGTCCTGTAAGGGAGAAACAGTGGGGTTAAATTCGGCAGATTTGCAAGGGGCAGTACCCTATTTTGCCCTTAAGTACTGCCTCCCGTCACCAACTGTCTGTGCCAAAAGCTCAAATACTAAGTGCTTGCAAATGTAAATACCATTCTGTTTTCCACATAGATACCTATGGGAGAGCCCATTTAATGGTTTGTTGACTCTAACAGACTTAAAACACCTCATTTAAATTTTACTTAGTGTTAACAGAGGATATTTCTCAAATCAGAATGCCAGAATGGAAACTACAGAGGGCAGGACAAAGTGAGCAAATGCAAATTCTCTCATTCCAAGTCATCACAAGCCAAATCTCAGAGACTCAGACATGTGGAAGCAAACAGAGTTGGTGTGTGAGCTAAGAGCCAGCTTCATGAGGACTGGAGGTGGGGGCCTGCGAGACAAGTTGGCAGTGATTACGCCTCTCTTTCTGGGTCTGTTAGGGCTAAATCTGTATGGCCTTTAGGAACCTTTCAAAATGAGTGGTCTCTCAATGCCAGAGAAAGAATTGTTTGGGAGAAACCATTGCCCAGTAGCTGTATTCAGTTCAGCATGTTCCTTAAAAACTTAAGAGGACAGACTTTGGGCATTACTGAGGCACTTGGAGATTGTTTGTGAATGGCACTCAGTGAGCTGTTGAGAGTAATGGTAAATGGTAGCCGAACTAATGATGACTGCAATGCCAGAAGCCAAGTAACAACATCACCATTAAGCAGGTTGGTGTCACCAAGTTAATGCTCTCAAAGACCACCACATCAAAATACGAGTTGGGAAACAAGCAGGCATCAGGAAAGGGAAAGTATATCAATTTGAAAATAAAGAGAAATGCTAAAGCACCAGCAAACTTCCTGGTCTCTACAATGATCTGAAAAATTCCTAATTGTGATTCTACCCACACATCATGTCAGCTCATTCTAGGTAGGCTAATACTGGTCTCCCATCAGAAGATGGAGAACCACCCAGATTTCTCCTCTTCGTAACTGAAGATCATCATTGTCATTTCCTTGTCAGTTATGTGAGGAAAATCATCAGTTTAAGGTGAGGAGTTAAATCCAGAGACTGAAACATTATTGGTTCAGCCAAAAAGCCACTTCTTGTCTATACACGTTAAAACGATGTTTCTCTTAGAAATCAGATACAGTCATGTGTCGCTTAACGACGGGGATACTGTTCTGAGAAATGTGTTGTTAAGCAATTTCATAATTTTGCAAAATCATAGAGTGTACTGACACAAACCTAGATGGTATAGCCTACTACACTCCTAAGCTATTTGGCACTAATCTTATGTGACCACCATCATCTATGCGGTCTGTCGTTGACTAAAATGTTGCACAACTGTATAAATTTGTCCAGTGATGCATACTGGGCGGTACCGGAATTCTAAATCTATGGAGATATGATAGACAATACACATGTTATACGCTAATTCTGGGAAAAGAGCAATTCAAATCTCATGTGTTTTATCCTCCATGATGAATATTCTCCAAAGGATTTAGCGAGCAAAGACTCAGTATGTGTGCAACTTTTGTATCCCCAGGGCTTCCTGCATAGCCTGCCTCAGGATGGGCACTCTATAGGTGTTGATTAATTGAATGTATAAATTGGTGGTTATTTCACAGTGGTGGGCTTATCTCGGCTGTGTAAAAGTGGTAACCTTAGGCATATGATCTGTGTTTTGCTCAATTCATGGTGGCTAACTCAATATTCAGTCTAGCTGCTAAAAAAGCAAAACGGACAGTCCTTTACTACCATTACTTACTTTTTGGCAACTTTCGATGAATTCATCTATGGTAACGACTCCATCTTTATTTTTGTCCATTTTCTGTTCAGAAAGAAAAAACCAAAAAACTTTATTCAGACTTACCCCTTGATACCCTGATCCCTGAACCGAAGGAGCTGAGGCTATTTGTTTTATGGAGAGGAAATGCTTCAGAGCACAAGCTGGTAGTTTCTTAGTGGTAAGAATCATATGGCCGACTGCTATTAGGCTGTTCCCTTTTCAACAGAATGGTGAAGATCTAGAGTCACTCTGCCCCAGCTAAAAGTCTTGCCCCCTAGCCATGGCAGAGTTCAGGCAATTGGCTGAAACTTTCAGAGCCTTGGTTTTTCATCTGTTAAATGGGGCTGGTGAGAATTTTTAACCTCATAGGGTGTTTTGAGAATTGAATGAAAACAAAAAACACACATGAAACATGGCAATTGCTTAGCATTCTATCTAGGAGATAGTGAATGTTCAATAAGTATAGTTATCAGTGTTATAATAAATTCAAAATCAAACTTACTAAATTACTGTGATGGTAAATATCCTATTGTTTTGTCCCTTTTAGTAAAAATTATTTTTCTTTGCATTCTTTTGATTCATCATGATGCTTTGCAAACATCAGGAAATTTACTCTTAGTTTCACTCCTTCTCCGACTTCTGTGGCATTCCTACCTGGAAAAATGTTTCGACATGTTGCCTGGGAGCATCTTCCTTGAGAACAGGATATGTGCATTTACCCATCATATCGTATATTGCTTTCATTATATCAAGCATTTCCTGAAAAGTAAAAGGCACGCACATGAGGCTGCATGCAATGTATGAAGAAACAACTCTGAGAAGCTTTGACAGATTATCCCTACTCAATTTCAAATTTTTCATCTTTCTTTGATTCATTAAATGCCTCGGGTTGTCCCAGAGGAAAAGGCAACAGCTTTATGCCTTAAAAGCAACACAATCAGAATGTAAGTATCAATTCTGCTCTTGGTTTCAAAATGAAGCAATTTCCCACATACCTAATGTGATCTGCAAAGAAATATCCTGGTTTAACGTTTGGACTTCCATATACTTCACATAAATGATCTTTGTTTTATTTAGCTGTTATGTATGTTATATGTTGATTATCAACTTCTATTTATTGAGACTAAAACTTCACATGGGGGCCAGCCCCATGGCTAAGTGGTTAAGTTTGCATGCTCTGCTTCAGAGGCCCAGGGTTCAGCGGTTCGGATCCTGGGCATGGACCTATGCACTGCTCATCAAGCCATGCTGTGGTGGCATCCCACATAGAAGAACTGGAATGACCTACAACTAGGATGTACAACCATGTCCTGGGGACTTTGGGGAGAAAAAAATGCAAAAGAGGAAGATTGGCAACAGATGTTAGTTCAGGGCCAAACTTCCCCACCAAAAAAAAAAAAAATAAATAAATAAATAAATTAACTCCACATCATTAGAATTGTACTAAAACTAACTGATAAGTCTCAAAGCTTGTTACAATTTTCAGGGACCACCCTGTGGCCAAGTGGGTAAGTTCACATGCTCCACTTCAGTGGCCCAGTGTTTCGGTGGTTCGGATCCTGGGCGCGGACATGGCACTGCTCATTAGGCCGTGTTGAGGCGGCATCCCACGTGCCACAACTAGAAGGACCCACAACTAAAATATACAACTATGTACTCAGGGGATTTGGGGAGAAAAAGCAGAAAAAAAAAAAAAAGATTGCCCACAGTTGTTAGCTCAGGTGTCAATCTTTAAAAAAAGAATAAAAAGGAATTTTCATTGTATTTTTCCTACTGTGGCTTTAACTAAAGAAGTCACATATGTAGATTAGTCGATAAATATTAAGACCCTGGGAAATATTTTGAAATTTTATTAATTTTTTTATTAAAACAAAATCTGGTTTTTGACTTGCCATTTTTACTCTTAGTAAAAATAATATCTAATTATTTAAACATTCAGACTTATTGTTTACATTTGTTTTGTTCATATTGAAGTTTTCACATAAAAATCTGGATTAAGTTGATATTATGATGTAATAGACATTTACTTTTGAGAGTATTCAATTCTGTTATAAATGATAAAGTAGTTTGTAAATCATAGGTGAAACCTCTTAACATGTTTTGAGTATATATAAGTAGCTAGAAGTTTGTTCGACACAGGGAGACTTCATGAGATGTGTTAGGTATAAATAGTAAGAATAGTATGTTTGTGTTAAACATAGAAAGGGACTGAAGAAATCAGAGATATCTAACATTCTGGAGGCACCTGAGTACTAAACGTTCATTGTAAACCAAATATACAAAAGGCACTAACTATCCAGGATATTCTCAATATACGTGAACACTTAACATTCATGAGCTCTTACTTCAGCCACTTATTGGTGAAAAACGTTCTGGCTCTATGTCCTCTGCTCAAGAAACACAAATGAAACCCATGGCCATTCATCAGGTTAATTGTCATGCTATAACTGTGGTCAGGTGCGCTTGTCCCTGTGTCCTCAGTAGAGCAAGTTCACGTCATTGGCCCAAGGTACCTTTTGTTTGAGGGGCCTCTTGCTCTAAACTCAACTCTGAGGAAAGCAAGTGAGGCAGAGAGAAAGACAGGACATCTAGACATTGAGGCACACCCAGGATTCAGGTAATACGGTCCTTCAACCCCACTTGCACCATATCCTAAATTGACTAAATTGCTCCATCCATTTTCCCTTGCTTCTCACTATGTTTTAAATTGATTTAATAAACCGGTTGATATGAGCATCTTAATTTGGTCTGTGAGCCTGTCTTCCTAGAAGTCTATTTGGGGGCCTCACTATTGCATCAGGTCATTTCCCACACAATACAGGTCATTGCATGATCCATATGATTTTAACATTGCATCTGTTTCCATAAAGACCACGTTACACGGTGGGGAAAAAACGTTACATGCCAAATAGTCTAACATGGTTTGGATACATTTTCTTCCTATCTAGTTCCAACCACGGTCTTTATTCCATTTACGGTATTTATTAAAATGACATTAGGAAACAAGGGTTTAATCCTTATGCATTTTATATTCACTTTGCAGATTCACCATAAACTATTCCTATCCATTATAAATTTTGTGTTGTATTCTCCACCACCACAAAAAATATTTTAGACATCCTGAAAAAGTGATTTTCTAATTAATAATGGCAACTGTTCAACATTTTGAAGTTAAAAAATGAAAAAGGCTCAAAGGAGAGCTGTGTTGGTGAGGCGTTTCTTACTTCTTTAGTGATGTAGCCATCTTTATTTATGTCATACAAATTAAATGCCCAGTTGAGTTTTTCTTGTACTGTCCCCCGAAGCAAAATGGAAAGACCTTTGATGAAATCCTGAAAGGAAATAAAAATACAATTTGATGTGAAATTTCTAAAACAATAAACTCTGACAAAATTTCTTTCTCAAAAAAAGGGAAGCAAGGGTTGCAACCCTCTGATTTTGAGGCATGTATTCATGAAGATGATCAATGTGTTCTTGGTCATCTGTTTCTCAGAGTCATGGGTGGGCATAAGCCCCGCCCCCCCCATAGTGTTTTACCATTCGCATCTTCTAATTGGAAACTGTGACTTATATCAACTGTGGAACTGGCAATTGTTTCAGAACAGACCCCAAACAGCAAGATGCATGCTATAAGTAGTAATTGTCTTTCCACAAGTGCACACAGTTCTTTTACTAAAAAGAATCTAATATTATCTTTTAAAATACAAGCACATAACACATTTCTCATGCAAAAGATCTGCTAACAAGAAACGTGGGCTGTCCATAAGATATGGGCCAATTTTAACCTTTATTTAGCCATCAAGTTATAATGTGCATGCGGGCAGGGGTTCGGAGCATGCAGCTGGAAGCCAGACTGCTGAATTCAAATTCTAGTTACGTCACTTGATAGCCTTGTGTCATCAGACAACATCCTTTTGCCTCAATTTTCAAATCTGTAAAATGGAGATTATAGTATCTACTTCTTAAAGTTTTTATGACAATTAAAAGAGTTAAGCTGCTTATTTTAGTGTCTGGCAAGGGCACTGGCTATGTAAGTGTTTGTCAAGTAAATGGAGCCCTCAGCCAATACCATGATTAGGCTGGTTTGATTACATTGCAGACAAACCAGATTAACTTGATCAAATTCATATATATTTGTTGTTCTGTACAGCAGAGTTAACATTACAACGTGGTGAATTTTGAGCTCACACAGAGTCGACAATTCATGGTTAGATAGGAATGAAAGAGCAGAAGGAAAATCCAGAAGTGGCCTTCTGCGTGAATTTGCATTCTCTCTCTACATTTCTACATTCCATCATTTTATAAAGCTATTTTCTTGTCTGAATTTCTAAAAACAAAACAAAACAAAAATTTAAACTTTTTTAGATAGGTATCTTTCATGTAGTTCAAAATTTAAAAATATGTAAGATATTTGGTGAAAAACTCTTCCTCTCATTTTTGGACCTCAACCACCCTATTTCTTTCCCTGTAGACAGCTGACATTAGTAGCTTGTATTTACTTCCAAAGAATTTCTGTGCATATACATGTACAAGGCATATTTATTTCTACATATTCCTCCTCCCTTTACACAAATGATAGTCTGTACTTTTTTCTTTTTCCACTTAGCAATAAATCTTGGAAATAATTCCAATCTTTTTCACTGTTGCATAGTCTGTATGAATGTACCATAGTTTATCTAACCAATCTCCCATCGATGAATAAAGATTTCCAATCTTATTAAAAACAAAGAGTGACCTCATATATACATAATTTATGTTTGAACAAGTATATCTGTAGGATAAGTGCTTAGGAGTGGAATTGCTGGGTCAAAGGATTTGAACATTTGTAAATTTTACAAGTTATTTCCAAATTGTCCCCTCCCAAAATCTATATATAAGAATATTGTAACTTGTCAATATTATATGGTATCAAACTTTTACCTTTTCCAATTTTATAGATAACTATTTCTTTCTCAAATTACTTACATTTGCATTTATTCTCTTATGAATAAATTTGAACAATTTTTTCAAAAGTCTTGGTTTATAGAAATTCTTCACATATTAGTAAAATTAGTCCTTGTCTGGGATATGTCTTCAAGTATTGTTTCCCAGTTTGTCATTTCTTTTGATTTTTCTATGTTGATTTTTGTAAAGTAGGCATCTTTTTATTTTTATATTCTAGAACTTGTCCATCTTTTAATTTATGTCTTTTGGTTTATGTCATACTGAAAAGGGCTTCCCCATTCTGAAGCCATAGAAAGATACTACCAAGTTTGTTTTCTAGAACTTTTAAGGCTTATTTTTTTATATTTAAATCTTTATTCAATTTGGAATTTATCCAATGTTTTTAGATAGTTATCTGGTTTTTCACAATATTATTTATTTTCCACTGATTTGAGATGTAAGATTTATCATATCCTCAATTCCTCTATGTACTTGTTTATATTTCTGGAATTTCTATTTTATTTCATTAATATATCTGTTTATGTACTACTACATTGTTTCAATTATTAAAACATTTTAGTAATTTTAATAGATATTAGGGCTATTTCCTCCTAATCATTCTTCCTTTTCAGCTATTTTCTTTTTATTTTTCCTTGTTTTAATATTCCATATGACCTTTTGAAGAATCTTGTGTGTGTGTGTGTGTGTGTGTGTGTGTATACATATAAACGTGTGGGGTATTTTTAGGGTTCGAGGTAAATCAACAGATCATCTTTGGCAGAACTGACAACAGCACGTTGATGAGTCTTCCTATTCAAGACTATAGGATACCTTTCCCTTGTCCTAGTCATTTTTGTCACTGAGTATAACAAATTACCACAAACTCAGTGGATTAAAATAATACATGTTTATTATCTTACAGTTCTGGAGTCAGAAGTCTGCAGTGGGTTTCACTGGGCTGGAATCAAGATGGAGGCAGAGCTGCATTCCCCTCAAGGGATCTAGAGGGAGAATCTGTTCCCTTGCTTTTTCCAGCTTCTAGAGGCCGCCTACATTACTTGGCTTGCAGCCCTTTCCTCAATCTTCAAAGCACATCACTCTAACCTCTGCTCCTCTTGTCATGTCTCCTCTTTCTTACCGTGATCTTCCTGCCTCCCTCTTACAAGGTCCTGTAGGATTATATTGGGCCCATCCAGATAATCTGGGATGATCTCCTCATCTCAAGATCCTTAGTCACATCTGCAAAGCTCCTTTCAGCATATTCACAATTTCCAGGAATTAGCATGTAGACATTTTTGGCGAGACATTATTCATTATACCAAACTCTGGTATATTTTAGGCCTTTCTGTTTTTTCCAAATTGTTCTTTCACATTTCTTAGTTGTATTTATTTCTAGGTATTTTAATCCTTTTGTTGCTTCTATAAATGAAGGTTTTTCTTCTATTACATATTCTAAATTAGTCTTGCTTATATATTTTAAAGCTATTGTTTTCCATATAATAATTTCGTATGCTGCCAACAGAGTATTCCTACTGTATATGATATTTTTTCAATTGATTCTCCTGGGTTTTTCATGTATGCAATCATATTAGCTGCAAATGGAGTTAATTTTTCCTATTCTTTCTAATTTTTATATTGTTAATTACTTTATTTTTTCTAACTGTATTGAATAATATCTCCAGAACAATACTACATAATGACAATGACAATAGACATCCTCATTTTGTTACTGAATTTAATGAGACTATGTCTAGTTAAATTTCTAAAGAATTATACAATTTACATTTTATTAAAAATTTATCAAGAATGACCATTGACCTTTGGAAAAGCTGATCTTCAAATTCATATGGAATTGCAAGAGGGCCCAAATAGCCAAAACAATACTCAAAAGGAAAAACAAAGTTGAAGGACTCACACTTCACGATTTCAAAACTCACTATAAAGCTAGAGAACAGTGTGTCACTGGCATCAAGATAGACATACAGACAAAAGCAATAAAATTGAGAACCCAGAAATAAACTCAAATACCTATGGCCACTGATTTTCAACAAAGGTACCAAGACCATACAATAGGGAAAGAATAGTCTCTTCAACAAATGGTGCTGTGACAGCTGGATAACCATATCTACTTTTCTTCCCATCTTTATTCAGGGTAAAATTTAGAGTGAGAGAAAAAGAGGACTCAAAAGAAGCCCACAAAGAATTCCAGTGTATCGTCGGCAGAGAGAAGAAGAGAAGCTGGCAAAGGATCTTGAAAATAAGTGGCTAAAGAGCTAAGAGAAGTCAGGAGAAGAGAGCATTTCACTAGGAAGGGATTGTTCATCTTGATACAAGATGGTGCTGAGGACTGAAAACTGCTCACTGGATCAGCAACATGGAGGTCACCAGGGACTGAGGAAACTACACAGAAAACCCACCCATCTTGTCTGTAAATGAAGACAGAGGAAGAGACCACAGCTGAAGAGGAATATGGAACTGCAGGAGAGATTTTGAAGATGAGCACTTTGAATACTGAAAGGTAGAACCTAAAAAGAGGAAAATACTAAAGATGTGCATGTGAGAAAGAGGGAGGATAAGAAATAGACTGAGAAGGTGGGAGGGATCCAAATGCAGGTAGGTGATCCGAGCTGTGAAGGGAGGAGGTACATTTCCTCATCTGATACAGAAGAAAGAGGGAGATGTGGTGCAGACACCAATAGCTGGTAAGAGGTGGGAAGATGAGTGAGTCCCCATCTGATAGCTTTAACGGTGTCTGCTTGAGAAGTGAAGGACGTGGCAAAAGGGTGAGAATCAATGGTTTGAGGAGACTGAAGGAGGCAGCCTTACCGCTGTACAATAAGTTCACTTGTGCAAATTATAGGAAGGTGGACCTCCCTCGAAATATTTTCCAGGCATCTTCTGAAAAATTGTTGTAATATATGTATAAACCTGTACTATATAATCTACTATAATTAAGAGGTAAGGACACCCTTTGGAGTTGTGCAGTATGCAACTTGCAAACTATAAGCTTTGGCTTTTTAAGAAGGTATAAAATAGTCACGGCACAGCCTGGGAAGGTAAGCTCATCTGAGAAAGATTGCTGGACAATTGTGTAAGGCCAGATGAGGTTAATATAAACCTTATCTGTTGCTTCAAATCACTAGTAATAGTTATATGCCCTTAGTTGAAAAGGGAGGCTGCATACAAAGTCTTTGTAGACATGCTTGGAGCATTGGTTCTCAAAATTTAACTTGCCGCAGAATCACCTGGAGGGCTTGCTAAAACACAGATTGCTTGACCCACTCCCAGAGTTTCTGATTCATTAGGTCTGGGGTAGGGCCCAAGAACTTACATTTCTAACAAACTCCAAGGAGATGCTGATACTGCTGGTCCAAGGATGACACTTTGAGAACCATTAGCATACAAGAAT